CCGCACACGCGTCCTTGCGGGCGGCCCGTTGTGAAGGATCGAGCACACCGAAGCGAGGTGTGCTCGTGTTGCAAGTGTCGCCGCCGCCGCAAGGCGGACGGCGCCCGCCGCCCAGCCAACAGTCGGTAGGGCGGGGGAAGGGTGGATTCGAGCCGCCCGCACGCTCGTGCGCAAGTGTCGCCGCCGCCGCAAGGCGGACGGCGCCCGCCGCCCAGCCAGCAGTGGCTAGGGCGGGGGAAGGGTGGATTCGAGCCGCCCGCACGCTCGTGTGGCCGGGAGGCTCGTGGAGAGCACGCCGTGCGCAAGCACAGGTGCGCGTTCGAAGCATGGAGTCGCAGCAGCGGAGGCTGCTGCTTACTGGTTTGTGGCACGCCACGCGTCTCGCGCGGTGAGTGCTGAGATACGCCCCGAGCACGATCGCCGGGGCGGCTGCATGACTAGAACGACCCGTGCCGTGGCACCGGTCGAGTAGAGAGGGCCGCACACGCGTCCTTGCGGGCGGCCCGTTGTGAAGGATACGAGCACACCGAAGCGGGGTGTGCTCGTGGTGCAAGTGTCGCCGCCGCCGCAAGGCGGACGGCGCCCGCCGCCCAGCCAACAGTCGGTAGGGCGGGGGAAGGGTGGATTCGAGCCGCCCGCACGCTCGTGTGGCCGGGAGGCTCGTGGAGAGCACGCCGTGCGCAAGCACAGGTGCGCGTTCGAAGCATGGAGTCGCAGCAGCGGAGGCTGCTGCTTACTGGTTTGTGGCACGCCACGCGTCTCGCGCGGTGAGTGCTGAGATACGCCCCGAGCACGATCGCCGGGGCGGCTGCATGACTAGAACGACCCGTGCCGTGGCACAGGTCGAGTAGAGAGGGCCGCACACCCACGCGTCCTTGCGGGCGGCCCGTTGTGAAGGATCGAGCACACCGAAGCGAGGTGTGCTCGTGTTGCAAGTGTCGCCGCCGCCGCAAGGCGGACGGCGCCCGCAGCCCAGCCAGCAGTGGCTAGGGCGGGGGAAGGGTGGATTCGAGCCGCCCGCACGCTCGTGCGGTAGGGAGGCTCGTGTAGAGCACGCCGTGCGCAAGCACAGGTGCGCGTTTGAAGCATTCGAGTCACAGCAGCGAAGGCTGCTGCTTACTGGTTTGTGGCACGCCACGCGTCTCGCGCGGTGAGTGCTGAGATACGCCCCGAGCACGATCGCCGGGGCGGCTGCATGACTAGAACGACCCGTGCCGTGGCACCGGTCGAGTAGAGAGGGCCGCACACGCGTCCTTGCGGGCGGCCCGTTGTGAAGGATCGAGCACACCGAAGCGAGGTGTGCTCGTGTTGCAAGTGTCGCCGCCGCCGCAAGGCGGACGGCGCCCACCGCCCAGCCAACAGTCGGTAGGGCGGGGGAAGGGTGGATTCGAGCCGCCCGCACGCTCGTGCGGTAGGGAGGCTCGTGTAGAGCACGCCGTGCGCAAGCACAGGTGCGCGTTCGAAGCATTCGAGTCACAGCAGCGGAGGCTGCTGCTTACTGGTTTGTGGCACGCCACGCGTCTCGCGCGGTGAGTGCTGAGATACGCCCCGAGCACGATCGCCGGGGCGGCTGCATGACTAGAACGACCCGTGCCGTGGCTCAGGTCGAGTAGAGAGGGCCGCACACGCGTCCTTGCGGGCGGCCCGTTGTGAAGGATTGAGCACACCGAAGCGAGGCGTGCTCGTGTTGCAAGTGTCGCCGCCGCCGCAAGGCGGACGGCGCCCGCCGCCCAGCCAACAGTGGCTAGGGCGGGGAAAAGGTGGATTCGAGCCGCCCGCACGCTCGTGTGGCCGGGAGGCTCGTGTAGAGCACGCCGTGCGCAAGCACAGGTGCGCGTTTGAAGCATTCGAGTCGCAGCAGCGGAGGCTGCTGCTTACTGGTTTGTGGCACGCCACGCGTCTCGCGCGGTGAGTGCTGAGATACGCCCCGAGCACGATCGCCGGGGCGGCTGCATGACTAGAACGACCCGTGCCGTGGCACAGGTCGAGTAGAGAGGGCCGCACACGCGTCCTTGCGGGCGGCCCGTTGTGAAGGATCGAGCACACCGAAGCGAGGTGTGCTCGTGTTGCAAGTGTCGCCGCCGCCGCAAGGCGGACGGCGCCCGCCGCCCAGCCAGCAGTGGCTAGGGCGGGGGAAGGGTGGATTCGAGCCGCCCGCACGCTCGTGCGGTAGGGAGGCTCGTGTAGAGCAAGCCGTGCGCAAGCACAGGTGCGCGTTTGAAGCATTCGAGTCGCAGCAGCGAAGGCTGCTGCTTACTGGTTTGTGTGGCACGCCACGCGTCTCGCGCGGTGAGTGCTGGGATACGCCCGAGCACGATCGCCGGGGCGGCTGCGTGACTAGAACGACCCGTGCCGTGGCACAGGTCGAGTAGAGAGGGCCGCACACGCGTCCTTGCGGGCGGCCCGTTGTGAAGGATCGAGCGCGCCGAAGCGAGGCGTGCTCGTGTTGCAAGTGTCGCCGCCACCGCTGCACGCTGGCTGGGCTATCGCCTGCAGGATGAGGCTAAAAGAGGCGTAGTTCCCCGCGTAGAGCACATAGCAAAAGGACTTCCGTTGACAGAGAGCTGCTCGATGTGACGACGTGTGTCAGTGCGCGCTCTCCTTGATTCCTCCTTCGGACGTGTGCATGTGGCAGAGACGAGGAGCAGTCATCGTCTCCGGCGGCCGTGGCTTCCGCGCAACAGGACACGCCAGTGCGTGCTCTTCCACGAGCTGCACAAGGTGGCCAGCGCCACGGTTATCAATATGTGGAAGCACGGCTTGCAACCTAAAGCAAGTCCGATCAGATCTGGGTGCGTTCGCTTGCAAGCATCGATTGAGGGATACGCCTATTGGTGCGACGCTCTCTTATGGGATTGGAAAACAGAGATGTGCACCAAGACTGCGGATGCTGGATTCGCGAGCAGCATGCACCGTGACGTGGTGCCGCCGCCTCACCAATTGAATAGCAGCGCTGGTGTGCTCATCCATGGGCTGGGTGTGCACGCGCTTGCCGCTCGTCACCGTTCTACCTTTGGGCCGGAGCAGTGCGTGTCCGTGGCCATCGTGCGGGAGCCTCTCAGCAGGCTAATCTCCGCTTACATGTACTGCAAGGTTTCTCGGCTTGACCCGCTGTGCGCCAACCATATGCTTTACCCGCGCAGCGGAGGCGGCGCGGACCGCCTCTTCAAAAGAGTCCCGCTAGCTAAGTTCGCCGCGCACTGGGGCAACTATATGCTCAGGGAGCTTCTCATGGCGGAGTGGCCACAGGCCGGCGCAAAGTGTGGCATCCTCTGCCAAGCCAAGGCGGCCTCTCCAACGCTGGCGAGGCGAGCGCAGAGCGCGCCAATCAAGATCCCGTGGTTTCTTCACAAGCTGGCACTCAACGGCAGCGACGACGCGCGCACTTCTGCGGGTAGGGCGGCGGTTCGCAGGGTCACTGCGCGGTTGCGCGGCTTCGAGGGCGGCTTCGGCACGTACGATGCGCTAGGCATCATGGAGAGGTGGAGCGACTCGATGGCGAACTTTGACGAGGCAGTGCCGCTCGCGCGAGGTGAGCGTTGGGCGCAAGCGACGGCGAGGCTGCGAGAGAAGGGCATCCGCAAGAGCGGCGAGGTGAAGGCGACGGAAGCCAAATATCTCAAGGAAGCGCATTGCTCGATGGAGATCCTCGGCCACCTCGCCGGCGACCTCTATCTCTACCATCGCGTGCTGCTACCGCTCTTCGAAGAGCAGCGTGGTGCTGGTGGCGGCAGCCGTATCGACGGAGCATGCGCGTCGTAGCTTCGTGTTCGTCGAGGATATAGCTCCCTTTTTTGTATGTTTTAGGAACAGTTTTAGCTTCATCGAGGCTGGGCAGGCCGAGGAGGGCGGCGACCTCGACCGACTATGGAGGACCCGGGCCGAGCGTTTTTGATCTCTGGGTCAGTGGGCGCCCGCCCGCCGCCTCTGAGGGGGTCGGGCCCCCTAGACTGAAAACAAAAACAAAATGCATAAACAGTCAAAAACAGCCTGCGAGAGCGGCGCTGCGCGCCGCCTACCTCGTGAGTCAGCAGGCTTTTTAACTACTATTAAGTGGAAGCAAGTTGCTTACACTTAATAGTGACGCCGCAAAAGGAGCGGGCGACGGCAATACACTTCCTGATGAAGGCTCGAGGATGTCATGTTGCGCGATGGCGTCATCCATTTCGTCAAGCCACCTTCATCGTGACCGTCGCCACCCTCGCCGCCGTCTCGCCTACGTCGCCGCCGTCGCCATCATGCGATGCAGGCCCATTCATGATGCAGGCCCAGCCACCCCCCTGGCTCCTATGCCGACGTGTCCAGCGTGCTCCCCCGTCCGCCGATGTCTCTGCTGCCGCCCAGCGGAGCTCTGCAGCGGGCCCTCCTCGCCGCTTTCGCTGCCGCTGCATCGCTGTCGGCTCGTCATTTCTGTCTACAGTCATTGGGGGCTGCCATCGCTGTTCTCTCTCTCTCCCTGGGTCAGCTCCAACCTGCCGTGTCGGGACGTCACCCCCTCGGCTCCACCCCCCCCCCCCTTCTCCGCTGACTGCTTGCTGCTGCTGCTCGCTTTGTCCCAGGAGCCAGGTGCTTGTGTCTAATCGTAGTGGGGGCCCTGGCCCCCCTCTGTTTTCTGTTTTCTGTTTTTCAAAACGCCCGCCCGCCCGCCACCCCGAGGTGGCTCGGCCCCCCACTGACCCAGAGATCAAAAAACGTCGGCCCCGTCGCCAGACGACGCGCAGGGCAGAAGACGGTGAGGCGGAGCAGACGCGCAGGGCGAGACGAGGGAGGGAGCAGGACTTTGCGGAGATCAGCAGGAGGATGTACGAAGAGATTAGGAGCAGCAGGGACCCGAGGGACCATGTGGAAGACGCGGCTAGTGCTAGTCCCCCATCGAGAGGACGACCCCGGCTAGTCGCCGACCACACCCACAAAGAACCCTGCACAAAGATCGCAAGGGCGGGGACCTGTTCCTTTTTACCCATCTCACAGTAGAGAGGTGTCCGTTTTTATTTATTTATTTATTGGGCAGGCCAGCTGTTAATGTGTATGTTGAGCTCTACACACGCGCGAAGTATGACTTCAAATCAGGCCATTATATTTTAGAACTCGAAAGAAAAGGCTTCTCCGCTCACCCTCCACCCAGCAGGCCGTCGGTACGCATCCCTTCCATCCATGCCGCCGCCATGTGCGCCGCGCCCCGGCGGTCGGGGTGGATGCCGTCAATGAGCATACGGCAAGTGACCGCAGTCGACATGTTGACCACCCGAAGCCGCGCCACCGGGCAGGCCGTGGGGGGCTTGCGCCTCAGCCTAAGTACAGGGCGGCCGCTCGAAGACGCGATGTGCATCGCGATTGTGCACTTGTGGCCGCATCTCCCACATCTCGGCAACATCTCGGATTGCCTGGCGGCGATACCCTCAAGTCGGGCGTGGTAGTCGGCCTCGACGCCCCGCCGTCGTCGCTGCGCCGCCTCGCCGCCGCGGCAGTGCGGAATGGGCAGCGCGAGCAGCACAGTCGCCTATGGCCATCCTTGCGCGGAAATGGATAGCCGCTGCGAGGCCACTCAATCGTGGTAGGGCTGCAGTGGCCTGCGGCGCGGAGCGGCAGAGGCGGCGGAGGATCGATCGGACGTTGGAGGCGACCGAGGCGACCGAGACGCCTAGGCACAACGGAGAGGCGTGAGGAGGCACCGCACTCAACTGGGTGGTGACCGATGCGACCCGGGCGCCCTCGCGCAAGACTCGCTTGGTGAGGTCGTTTGTTCCGATGTGGAGGAGCGCCGCGTGGGGAGGCGCCTGCCGAGAGCGATCGACTTGAAGGGACTCTGTTCACATCTCCAATGGAGAGGCACCACTCTCAGAGTCGCCGGCCGCAGCGCGTCAAGCCAGGTGGCGATAGATCCACGCTGAGGCTGCCGATCGTGCCTAGGCAGCATCGGAGCCCTTGCCACTTGCCTTGGCGCTGGCAGCGGGAGAGGCGGTGGCAGCGGTGGTGGCGCTTGCGGCAGCGATGGGCAGGTGCTGGGAGCAGCATTGGTGGGGCGGGGCCGTGAGAGGGGTGCCCGCGTAGTAGCTGTTCCGCTGTCCAGCCCCAGTGGCCTTCGTGCCGCTGCGCTTCCACCGGCCAGTCCGCCTCGGATCCCAGCGGCGCACCAGCCGTCGCATTGCGCCCTGCGGGATTGGCGGGAGCAGGGCAGGCGCTGAGCGAGACTGATGCGCCACGGGCCGACGCATGCACATGTAAGTGCGCTTGCAAACACATGCGTGGCCCCTGCGCGCGCGCGTGCGCTTGCGTGTGTGCTGTGGGCGTGCGTCTTTGTGGGGACTCAAAGCTATACGTGCGGCCAGGAATTTGCACAGCTCACCAATCTTGCGATCATACACGCCGAGCATTGAGCCTGGTTGGGGAAGAGGGGTGGGTAGAGCTGGCAGACAGCGTGGGCCGAGGCCACTGCATGGCACACAGACAGGTGCACGCCGGAGCTGGGAGCGGGCGGGCGGCAGCGCACCAAGCCAGCGGACAGAGCGGCCCTCTCTAGAAAGGGAAGCGTGGAGGTGGTAGCGCCACGCACGCGCCTTGACGCCGCCGTCGGTGATCGAGTCGCCGAGTGCGAGCAGCCTGAGCGGATCTGCAGGGGACGAGGGCATGGCGTCCCCCCGAGTCGCCCGCCGATGACACCCGCGACAGGATTCCACAGTATGTCGACGCGGTACCTGAGCGCCATGCTGCGAGCTCAGTCGTGGGTACCTGCCATGCTGCGAGCTCAGTCGTGGGTAAATGAAGGACGGAACTCACAGGGTTGACACATAGGCAGGAAGGTAAACGCCAGGCGATTCCCAAGCTGCAGAAACGAACGAGCTTTTAGAGAGAGATTTTTAGCAATACCAAACAAATCTAACACTCACGCGTCGTTTGGGGCCTGGAGCCCTGTTCACGCGCGCGCGAGACGTGCAGACAGGTTATAGTGGCTACAAGCATAGCCATAGGGACTGACTGAGATTATGGTGCGGGCGGAACGCGCTGGTGCTACCCGGACATACGCGCGGAGCGCGCTAGCTAGACACCGCGCCCCCGCGGGCGGAGCGCGCGGCTAGATGACTCACACACCATTGCTCCGAGTTAGAGGGGAAAATCGCCATGTTACTTACGCCGTTTCCCTGCGAACGCGCACCCCCCAGCGGCTAGGGCTCTCTTGCCCGCAACCCGATCCCGATCATCTGCCCCCCGCTGGGTGTGCTTCTTAGCCCCTGGGCGCGCTGTGCGCTTTCCACTGCGGGACGCGGCCACGAAAGGTGTCCAGACCCCAGTTCCGGCGGACGCAGCGAGCGTCGGGACTCCGTCCCAGCAGACGAAGTCTTCCTCGTGGGCTCCACGGCCCGGATCGCGAGCTCGATCGATGTGCCGACAAACAGGAAGAGCCGAGCGGCAAGAAGGGCTCGATGGGGAGCGAGAACCGTCAAACGTGCTCACTCACGGAGGTTTCGGAAGTCCACCCTGATGCGGTCGATTCCCCCCAGGTTGATCAACCGCGCTCCAGCAGCGAGCGGTGCAGAGCGGCTACCGACATGACAGTTGGCGACGGCGTCTGAGTCTACGGAGGTAGGTAGGTAGGTAGTAAGGTGAAGTCTACGGAAATACGGAATTGTACTATACCATACCCCGCAAAAAGTTGGAACCCTGGAACAGATGCCCTCATTGGAATGCCTCCTGGCCGTCGCGGCCTCCGCCGCCGCATTCCAGCCCGCGCCTACGGCCAGAGCGGCCACAGTGGCGCGTCCCACCTTCGTGGCCTTCGCGCCTCGCGCCGCACCGCGCGCCATGTTCGACATGTTCAAGTCGAAAGAGCCCGAGCCGCCTGAGGAGCCCGAGAAGGCGAAGCCCAAGATCTCTCTTGACGGGCTGATGCAGGCGAACTCTCGCTCGAGCGATGGACTGCCTGCACGTGGCCCCGTACATCACACAGCCGTGCGACACATGTGGCCCCGTACATCACACGTGGCCCACGGCTTGCGACACACCACACAGCCGTGCGTGCGCCGAGGCGGCATGCCAGTGGCGAACTAAACTGGCAGAGCTGTCGCAGCATTCTGGCAGCAGCAGTGGCGGCCACCTGGCGGCTCCCCATAGGTGATGGCCATGGGCGCGGGCGCGCCCATGCTGGGTGACCTGAAGAAGACCAACTTCAAGAAACCGGAGGCTCAATATCATGTCTTAATATTTACCTGGTCCGTCGGCTGAGTTGATGACATGTATTCGGCAGGCGGAGGCAGGGGCTGCGCTGCAGTTTGAGCTGGAGGTGCCGCGATAGTGGCGATCGTGGCCTCGTTCACCTAGACGTAGCCGAGATCGAGGCCGAGGAATAGCCGGAGATATGGCCAAGACAGGCCTCCGTGACACCAAACACACACACACACACACACACACACACACACACACACACACACACACACACACACACACACACACACACACACACACACACACACACACACACACACACACACACACACACACACACACACACACAGCACACACACACACACACACACACACACACACACACACACACACACACACACACACACACACACACACACACACACACATGCACTCATCTCGGCGGGCCAGCCCGCTTGCGGGGTGGCTTGGCGGGTTCGATGACGGCCAGTTGGCTCCCTCTCAACAGGCGAACAATTTCGACCTCGACGCCCGCGGCAAGTTCTTCGATAGCGGCAGCGACAAGGATGCGGAGTACGACAACCCAGGTGGTTCACAGAAGATGGACAGAGAACAGCCAGGCTCAGAATGGACACGAGCGCGGTATGGGCGGACGCTGGACAGGGGATGCCGGCACGCTGGAGCGACATGCAGAGGACTCACGGCTGGATGCTGCACCAGTTGCCCCCACACGTCGGTGGTGGTGTGGTGCGGGGGGCAAGTGCACCCCGCCCTGATCTAAGCCCGTGTACTAAGCCCGTGTACTAGGCTTTTTCGAGAACCTGATGTCGGGTGGCAAGCTGCAGCGCGAGTACGACAAGCAGATGCAGCAGAAGCGCAAGAAGTAGGGAAGAGCCAGTGTTTGCGTTGAGCGGGGTGCCCCAAGCCCACCGAAGGCCCACGCGCCACGCCCTACCCCTTCTTTGTTATAAGCGGATTTGCCGAGCGAGACTCGCACACACGGAACACCTTACCTTACCTTACCTACCTTACCTCGACACTTGCACGGTCGCACATCCTCCCCCCCACCGTAAAGTGGTTGCGAGATTTTGGATGAGATGGTGCAGCCCCAGACAAACAACCCTCGAGTGCGTGTGCCCCGTCAACCGTACTGGGACGTGAGTGACACTGACTGGCTGACTGACATCAGTGTGTGCTGGGCCTCCTGCGGCGCCGCCGCCGACCCCTCACTGACGAGGCTGAGCCGGCCTCGTACCGCCGTGGGCCGCCTCCCCCCGCGCCCGGCGCACGGGCGGCCTCGATCCGCCCCGCCAACTCGAGGTAGCGACGGCGCCGCGCCTCCTCCGCACCGGCCGGCTGGTCCCTCCCGCCACCGCCCTCCCCACCGCCGCCGCCCTCCTCCCCGCCGCCTTCCCCGCCGCCGCCTTTCCCGCTGCCGCCGCCCGCCTCTGCACCGTCGCTGTCGCTGCACACGTCCGCGCCGTCGCTGCCGCTGCCCCCGGCGCCTCCGCCGCCGGCGACCGCATCCTCGCTGCGCGCGCGCCGCAGCTCGCGCTGCACGACAGTGTACGCTGCACGGTCGGGATGCGACGCGAGCCGGCGACCGTACCGCGGCGCAAAGGGGAAGCAGCTGCCGCGGTGGCAGCCGCTGGGCCCGTGTCGCAGGAGTAGGCGCATGTGCTGTCTGCTCGGCCAACCGAGGTTGGTGGGCAAGTCCCACAGGCCGTGGCGCCGCCCTAGCGACCGCATCGCAACCTCGTGCGCCACCGACGCGACGATGGAGGCAGCGGCGACGCACGCCTCGGACTGGTCGCAGCGAACGTGCGCCTCGCCGCGCAGGCCCGCAGGCACCGCCTCGCCGTCCACCAGGTAGTAGAAGCACGAGCGACATGCTTTCCGCTCCAGCCTCGCCGCCGCCAGCCGCATCGCCGCGTGAGCGGCGGCTTGCGGTCCGAGCGAGTCGACGGCTCTGTGGTCGACTGCGGCGCACGACCACAGCACACGTGGCGCGGCGCGCAACCGCTCGTACGCGTCGAGCCGGGCGGCGCGGGAGAGCGACTTGCAGTCGCCAGCCGGAAGCCAGGCGGCCGCGTCCTCGCTCTCTGGGAGAAGGACGGCGGCGGCAACAACGGGCCCAGCTATGGCTCCAACGCCACACTCGTCGAGCCCGGCGACGTGGGGGTGGGTACGCCGTAGGTGCCGCTCTGTCGTGCGAGACAGGAGGCCGTGGCAGGCCGCAGCGATCCTGAGCATCGACGCGCGGTGCTGGAGCCTTCCTTCGACCCAGCGTTCACAAAAAGAATTCAATCGGCAGACGGGCGCGCGCGTGTGATTCCTGTTTCGCCTTCCCATCAATCAATCAATCAAACCCTGGTTGTGTCGCCCCACTCTCGCGCTGTTCGCTCGCCAGTGTGGAGGGCATGGCCGCGGAGGAGGCGAGTACGCGCTTGCCAGGCCTTCTCTCTCTCTCTCTCTCTCTCTCCAGGCCTTCCGCAGACAGCCTCTTGGGCAGACTGAGGGTCGGCTTTGCGTGGCGTGGCCCGTGCGCTGCGCTGCGCAAAGCTGCGGGTGCTGAGGGAGCATCCTGTGCTTCCTTTGGGAAGTGCGCACCTCCTGCAGCTGGTGGAAGGCCGTGCCGCCGCTCGCCTGCTCCGTGGACAGGGCGGGGAGGCGACGCCGCAGCGCCGCAGCGTCCGCTGCACGCCGGTGCAGCTCTCTGCTGCCTGGTGAGCAGCCTGCTGGAGCTGTGCGCGGTGTTTGTGAGGCGGCTCTGGCGCTGTGGTGCCTGCCGCGGCGAGTGGCGCGAGGCACGCGCGGCGCCGCGCGTGGCCTGGACGGTAGCCAGAGAGCGCGCTCGATGAGCCAGCCGGCGCGGCGCGAGCGCCGTGCAAGCTGGCACATCGTCTGCATGCTGCCGTCGTTCTCTGGTTGACGGCGGTCAATCTCGTGGTTGCCAATCGGCGGGCTTTGTGACGCCGTTTACGCAATGGATTTGCGTTCGTTTTTTCTTTTCGTTTGTTTTTTCTTCTTCTTTTTCTTTTGCGCGGCGACGGAGGGGGGGGCGGACGGGCGCTGCCTTAGCGTCATCACCGCGCGACGCGCTCGCCACGCCTCACCCGGGCAAAAGGAACGATCGCGCGCCGCCGCCGCCCGCCTCGCCTTGCCTTCCCCTGCGCCTGCCCCTGCGCCTCGCCTCGCCTTGCAGCCGCGCACGCGCACACGCGCGCGCTCGCGTCGGGCCGCGGCCGTCGCCCGCGTTCGCTACGGCGAAGCAACCCTCCACGCGAGTTTCGAACCGGGAGAGCCAAAAGGCAAAAGCTCCCGGCTCGAACCGCGAACGGTTCAACCACCGCCGCTGGCGGTTCTTGCAAAGGCATTCAGGGGCAGCGCCTCATATAACGTGAAATAGTGCGAGCGCGCGAGATACTCACCCGACCCACCGTGCCCTCGCGAAAGAGATCTCGTGCCGCGCGCGCTCGCACACGCCGCCCGAGAGCACTCCCACCCCCGCCGCCCTCGCAAGCTCACAGGTTGAGTTGAGGAGAAGCAGCTGAGGGAGATCAAAGCGGGAGAAGGCGGCACGGCGGCGGCGGCGCGGCGCCCCCACATCCCCATCCGCCTCCGGGCGTGAGTGTCCCCCCAGCGTCTGCTTGAGAGCAGACGCTCCGGTAATCAGGCCGAGAGTACCAGGCAGTTTTATTTCGAGGTCCGAGTGGGAGGCGGCCACAGAGTCGTCCACTCGCGAGCCCTCTTCGAGATATCGAGAGGGTCCGCGGCCGAGCCAAAGGACGACCTCCGGCTGGCCGCTGCAGAGCCGCCGCCTCAACCGCTTCCGCGGCCACTCAGAAACCTGCCAGCGCATCCGCCAGCTCGGACTTCGTCTCCGAGCTATCCTCAGCCGCGGCAGTCGCCGCCGCCTTGGCTCGCCCCTGCCGGCCGCGCGCGATCGCCTGCAGCTGTATCGCTGCCGTCGCCTCCGCCTCCGCCACCAGTCGTCTCAGTCGCACCACCTTCGCTGCCACCGCCTCGGGCGCGGCGCATGCCGCCGCCGCACACGCCGGCTCCGACGCCACCCTCGCCGCCGCCACCAACTCCGCCGTACACGGTAGATTGCGGAACTCGGCAGGCGACGCCGGCTGGGGCTGCGCGTTGGAGCTCAAGGTGCGCCGCTCGTCGATGCCCTCCTCCGCCATCTGCGTCCATTGCGACGCGAGCCGGCGCCACGGCCGCTCACGGATGCATCTCTCGGCCACCCGGGCCCACACCACCACCAACGCCGCCCCAAGCATCCAGACCGCCGTGGAGTAGGCGGCGGCACCCAGCAGAACGCCAGTGGCTTCAACTGCGCCTGGCGGAGAGGGCGGCGGCGCCAGCGGCGGTGTAGACGGAGGTGGCGGGGACTGCGGTGGCGATCTGGGCGGTAGCGCTGGTGGTGGCGGCGGCAACGACGGTGGCGGTGGCGGCGGTGGCGATGGCGAGGGTGGCGGCGGGAAGGGCGACGGCGGCAGTGGTGGCGGCGGCGATGGTGGGGACTGCGGTGGCGGGCTGGGCGGTGGCGGTAGAGGTGGCGGTGGTGGCGGCGACAGTGGTGATGGCGGCGGTGGTTGCGAGGGAGGCAGCGGTGGCGGCGGCGGCGGTGATGGCGGGGGTTGGGGCGGCGGTAACGGCGGCGACGGCGGCGACGGTGGCGACGGCGGTGGCGGCCGAGGGAGGGGAGGCGCCGGCAGGTGAGTCACCTCCCCGTTGAAAGCCATTGTCTCTCCGCGAAAGACGCTCTGTCCCGGGGCGGGCTTGATGCGACATGCGTGCTCGCCCATCGGGAGGACGTGCAGTATCGGCTCCTTGTGGAGTTCACACATATTCTCGGGCCCGACGCTGTAATCGATGGCGAGGCAATCAGGAAGATTGTCACACGCCTGCTGGCAGACTACCTCACTCACGCCCGGAAGCTCGTCCACCGACCCTCGCGCGCCGAGTTCGACTCGGCAAGCACCGCGCTTGCCTCCGAAGAGAGGCCACAGCATCTAGGGGAGGGTGTGTACTTCCAGTCGGCTTCCGCGGCGCCGTTCACGTAAACGCTCTGCCAGGGGCCCCTCCACTCGCCTGCACCTGCTCGAACCCTGAGCACTGTGCAGCGTTGCACGCGTTGCATGAATGCACGTTGAGTTGAACTCAAATGCACGAAGGTGGTAATAGTTATTGTCTTGAGTATTGCGCGTCTCTCGACCGAGAGCGCTAGCCTCTACCCCTTCGGTCCGTCGAATCTCGGCGCGGCAGATGCGACGCCGAGACTGACGAAACCTCCCTGGTGGTGGGCTGCTGAGCCGACCGAGAGCGCTAGCCTCTACCCCTTCGGTCCGTCGAATCTCGGCGCGGCAGATGCGACGCCGAGACTGACGAAACCTCCCTGGTGGTGGGCTGCTGAGCCTCCCCCACACACAAGAACACCACAGGGACACCGTGACACACTAGACAACACATGCCACGAGGCGGGATGAGACTAGATGTCTCGGACGAGACTCGTCACTCGACGGAAACCAAGTAATGAACATCGGGTTGCTGCGCGGCGGGTCAACCCCATTATGCGCAGTCATCCAGATGTCATCTGCACCTAAAAGAGTCGCCGGCGTGGGCGGGAGGGGCGACTGTATCTGGTAGGCGCGGTAGCGGTAGACGGGCGAGCCACAGCTGGCAAGATGCGGATCGACATAGACCTTGCTCGAGCCGCGGCGAGCCGAAAGTGGAGCGTGTCAGGATCGGCGCCTCGGCTGTGAACTGACCTCGCTGTGAATGTCACCGCCGTCACAGACACTATTGTCCATGAATGGTAAGACTGATAGTAGAGTAGAATCGGGTCGAGCGACCGGCCCAGTCGACCGTCCCCTCCCCTCAGCAGAGCGGGCGAGAATCCTAACGGATTCACGCCTCCTCTGCCAGGGGCCCCTCCACTCGCCTGCACCTGCTCGAACCCTGAGCACTGTGCAGCGTTGCACGCGTTGCATGAATGCACGTTGAGTTGGTGTAGGTTCACACACAACCCCGCGGACCCAAGACGCACAAGCACGGGTCAGCTCGGGTCAGAATGGGTTGCGACCGCTCCTGAAGCAAAATTCTTTCGTGCTAGAAAGTTGCGCGAAATATCGAAAGAGGGAGGTCATGCTCACGCTGTTTGGCTCTACGTCGGCTCTACGCCTTCGTCGCGTGCGCCTCTACGACGCCGCGGGCAGGCGGTGGCCCCGCCCCTCGCCGCGGTCACTCTTCCCACCCAACGGCTCCTCTGGCGTGCGCCGACCCGTGGACCGCGGGCGGTGCCAGCGCAGGGGCGCGTGGTGAGGAGAGCTTGAGAGCGCCACGCCGTGTGAAACTGAACCTGAAGCTTTCGCCCCCCCCCACCCCCCCACCCTATTTCTTATTCTTTCGACACAAAATTCTTTTCTCGCACACACACCTGGCGAAACGGCACCACCCAGTAAACACGTATGGTCCGACACATCTAAAAGTGAAAGGGGGGGGGAGGGGAGAAGCACTCTTGAGGGGAAAACATTGGACCGTCAGGAGCGGCCGCACACTGCTCGGTACCCCCCCTGCACACCTAAGCCCATGGCCGACCCCCCCCCCCCCCCCCTAGCAGCAGAGCTCTGCCTGTGGGGGGTGCTGGCATCTCTGTGCAGACAGCAGTTGTAAGTAGCATGCGTTCCAGTGGCGAGAATTTATGGTCGGCACCAAAATCAGTGGTCTCACCGGCGGGCCCTCCTATGCCAGCCGGGCGGTGCGGGGCACGCCAGCCTCTCTTCTACGCCTCTCGTGCCTCGCGGTGCCTCTGCTTCAAGGAGGGAAGATACGGCTCTCGCAGCTGTGGCACAGCGGAGAGCACAGCGGGCGGTACAAGTCCATCAGATATGGTTCCCTATCTTCGCATGCTCGTTGTTGGTGATATCCGCGCGAGGTCATACGCCACAGGCCAGCAATCACTCGGCGATGAGACTACTGATTTGGCGCGACGCTCTGACACCGAGTGTTGCTCGACGCTGCGACACCGCCGAGTACCGCGTGCAGCGCTCAACCTCGCGGAGTACACCTCTCGCTATCATCCCGCTTCGTCCATCTCCAGATTGTCTCTCGTCCATCTCCAGATTGTCTGGCGTCTGAACCTTCTAGAGGCGGAGGGACGGCGGGAGAGGACGGTGGTGCGGGCGGTGATGATGATGTGGCCATTGGCCGCCGCCGCGTCCTCTTTGCGAGCGCTCTCGGCTTCCGTCCCTTTTTACGCTTGTCCCCCCCCTTGCTAGTGTGTCTGACTTTCACCGGACCAGGACAGAAAAAGAAAGAAAGAAAACAGACAACCCAAGGACCAGGACAGGGTGCCCCCGAGTTCATTTTATAACCAGGACAATAAATAAATAAATAAAACGGGCACGCCAA